GGCATCAGGGGTCCTCCCGCAGCCGGGAGCAACAGGAAAGGTTAAGGGAAGGCCAAGGAGGGGATGCTGCTGAGGGGAGGCTGCTGGGGGGAGGCTGTCCTCTCCACCAAGGTCTCCTGTGGGGCAGGGTGGGAGGTGGTGGGGCTGGCAGGGGAAACGGCCCCCCCCCAACCTCAGTAACCACCTCCCTTCTCCCCCAGGTACTACGGGGGGGCCGAGGTGGTGGATCAGATAGAGCTGCTGTGCGAGCAGCGGGCTCTGGAGGCCTTCGACCTGGATCCGGCCCGGTGGGGTGTCAACGTTCAGCCCTATTCGGGGTCTCCAGCCAACTTCGCGGCCTACACGGCCCTGCTGCAGCCCCACGACCGACTCATGGGGCTGGACCTGCCCGACGGGGGCCAGTATGTAGCAGGGTGGGGGCAACCTGGAGTTTGGTGCCTCCTGGGGGGGGCCCCAGCCTGATCCCCCACCTCTGCCTTCCCCTGCAGCCTCACACACGGCTACATGTCAGATGTCAAGAGGATCTCGGCAACGTCCATCTTCTTCGAGTCCATGCCCTACAAACTTGACGTAAGCCGAGGGGGGGGCAGGTTCCTGGGGGAAGGGGGGAGCTGATCAAGCTGTTGGGTGTCCCTGGGGTGCCTGAGCTGCTCTGCCATCCCCTGCCCTCCCCTCCCTGTGTCCCAGTTGTGTCCCAGTGCCATGGGGTGCCCTCCCTTCCCTGTGTCCCAGTTGTGTCCCAGTGCCATGGGGTGCCATCCCCTCCCTGTGTCCCAGTTGTGCCCCAGTGCCATGGGGTGCCCTCCCCTGCCCTCCCCTCGCTGTATCCCAGTTGTGTCCCAGTGCCATGGGGTGCCATCCCCTGCCCTCCCCTCCCTGTGTCCCAGTTGTGTCCCAGTGCCATGGGGTGCCCTCCCCTCCCTGTGTCCCAGTTGTGCCCCAGTGCCATGGGGTGCCCTCCCCTGCCCTCCCCTCGCTGTATCCCAGTTGTGTCCCAGTGCCATGGGGTGCCATCCCCTGCCCTCCCCTCCCTGTGTCCCAGATGTGTCCCAGTGCCATGGGGTGCCCTCCCCTCCCTGTGTCCCAGTTGTGTCCCAGTGCCATGGGGTGCCCTCCCCTCCCTGTGTCCCAGTTGTGTCCCAGTTGTGTCCCAGTTGTGTCCCAGTTGTGTCCCAGTGCCATGGGGTGCCCTCCCCTGCCCTCCCCTCGCTGTCTCCCAGTTGTGTCCCAGTGCCATGGGGTGCCATCCCCTGCCCTCCCGTCCCTGTGTCCCAGTGCCATGGGGTGCCATCCCCTGCCCTCCCCTCCCTGTGTCCCAGTTGTGTCCCAGTGCCATGGGGTGCCCTCCCCTCCCTGTGTCCCAGTTGTGTCCCAGTGCCATGGGGTGCTTTGAAGCTGCCTGTGGTTCAGCCGAACCGTGCTCTGAGCCAGGGGGGCGGGGGAGGTGCGTGTGCCATGGCAAACTGTCCATCTGTCCGTCTGTCTGTCTGTCCGTCCCTCGCAGCCGGCCACGGGGCTGATTGACTATGACCAGCTGGAGGTGACGGCGCGGCTCTTCCGTCCTCGCCTCGTCATCGCCGGCACCAGCGCCTACGCCCGCCTCATCGACTACGCTCGCATCAAGAAGGTACGGGGCCGTGGGTTCCCTCACCCCTTACTCGTGGCTGTGGGGATGGGGACAGCACCCCTGTGACCCCCCCCAACCCCCCGTGCACGTCCCCAGGTGTGCGAGGAGGTGAAGGCCTACCTGCTGGCAGACATGGCGCACATCAGCGGGCTGGTGGCAGCCAAGGCCATCCCTTCGCCCTTCGAGCACGCGGACGTGGTCACCAGCACCACGCACAAGACCTTGCGTGGTGCCAGGTGAGGCCGTGTCCTGCTGTCCCCTGCCCCGGGGGACGGGGGGGGACCCACAGGAGGGTGGCAGCGGTGGCAGCACTGCCCCGTGGTACGGGGGGCCGAGGCCCTGCCGTGGGGCGATGGCGGGAGGAGCGGTGCCAGCTCTCTCTCACCACCAGGTCAGGACTGATCTTCTACCGCAAGGGCGTGCGCTGGGTGGACAAGAAGACGGGGAAGGAGACACTCTATGACCTGGAGGACAAGGTCAACTTTGCTGTCTTCCCCTCCCTGCAAGGGGGGCCCCACAACCACGCCATCGCCGCCGTGGCCGTGGCCCTCAAACAGGTCTGTGCCGGGTCCGGGGGCTCGGGGCTGGGGGTGACCTGGGACCCCACACTGACGTGGTGACCCCACACTGACGTGGTGACCCCACACTGACGTGGTCTCCTCCTGGCCAGGCCAGCTCGCCAGCTTTCCACCAGTACTGCCAGCAGGTGCTGAGGAACGCCAAGGCCATGGCACAGGCCCTGCTCCAGCGCGGGTACACCCTGGTGTCAGGTAATGCCCCTTCCCTGCACTTTTGGGGACAAGGAGGGACGAGCCTGCCATAGGTCACGAGCGACGGTGGTGGGTCTTGGTGCCCCAAAGCAGCAGTGGGGGAGCACGGGTGGGTTGGGGGGCAGAGGAGGGGGGTGCAAGGCAGAAGAGGGCTTGGGAGGCAGCGCTGTGGAGCGGGGAAGGGCTGGTGTTGGGGGGTGTCTGGGGGTGCCCAAGGGGTGGCCCTCGCTCCTCACCCTGTCCCCTTGCTCCCCAGGTGGCACTGACAATCACCTGGTGCTGGTGGACCTGAGGCCCAAAGGCATCGACGGGGCACGGGCCGAGCGGGTGTTGGAGCTCGTCTCCATCACGGCCAACAAGAACACGTGTCCAGGGGACAAGAGCGCGCTCACGCCGGGGGGGCTGCGCCTGGGTGAGTTCCTGCCTCACTGAATTTCACTGAATTTTTAGAGTTGGAAGGGACCATAGAGACCATCTAGTCCAACCCCCCTGCTGAAGCAGGATTGTCTTGAGCTTGTCAGAGCATGTTACTCAGGACGGCATCCAGGCGGGTCTTGAAGATCTCCAGAGAAGGGGACTCCACACCCTCCCTGGGCAGCCTCTTCCAGGGCTCTGCCACCCTCACTGTGAAGAAGTTTCTCCTCATATTTGAGTGGAACCTCTTCTGGTCCAACTTGTGCCCATTGCCCCTCGTCCTCTCACTGGGAACCACTGAAAAGAGTCTGGCTCCCTCCTCCTTCAACCCTCCCTTGAGATACTTAGAATCATAAAATGGTTTGGGTTGGAAGGGACCTCAAAGATCATCTAGTTCCAACCCCCCTGCCCTGGCCAGGGACACCTCCCACTAGAGCAGGTTGCTCAAGGTCACATCCAACCTGGACTTGAACCCCTCCAGGGATGGGGCATCTACAACTTCCCTGAGCAACCTGTTCCGGTGTCTCACCACCCTCATAGTAAAAAATTTCTTCCTGAGATCTACTTGTCGGCATTAATAAGGTCTCCCCTCAGCCTTCTCTTCTCCAGACTAAAGAGTCCCAGCTCTCTCAGTCTCTCCTCATCAGGAGATGCTCCAATCCTTGAATCATCTTCGTTGCCCTTCGCTGGACTCTTTCCAGTAGTTCCCTGTCTCTTGAACTGGGGAGCCCAGAACTGGACGCAGGATTCCAGTTGTGGCCTCACCAGTGCAGAGTAGAGGGAGAGAATGACTTCAAGCTGGAGGGGAACAGCTTGAGACTGGAGATGAGGAGAGGGTTCTTCACTGGGAGGGTGGTGGAGCACTGGGACAGGTTGCCCAGGGAGGTGGTTGAGGCCCCTTCCCTGGAGATATTCAAGGGGAGGCTCGATGGGGCAACCTGGTCTAGTTGGGGGTGTCCCTGCTGACTGTGGGGAGGTCGGACTAGATGACCTTTGGAGGTCCCTTCCGGCCTGGGCAACTCTATGATTCTATGATTCCCTCGACCTACTGGCCAAACTCTTCCCTCTGCAGCCTCCATCCAGCCCCTTCCCTGGGGGGGTGGTGGGGGTGGTCCCCAGGCTTTCACCCTGGGGCATCCCCCCTCTGTGTCACCCCTCTCTGAGGGCTCCGTGTGGGGATTTGGAGCCAGTTTGTGGCTCGGAGTGGGGTGTGGGACCCCGTGGGGGCCGGGACTTGGGGAGCCCCTCGGTGGGACTGGCCTCTGTGGCTGGTGGCCCCGTGTATCTCCTGGCCCTGACGGGCTCTGCCCCCCCAGGTGCCCCCGCCCTGACGTCCCGCCACTTCCGTGAGGAGGATTTCCAGAAGGTGGTGGCTTTCATCGACGAGGGCATCACGCTGGCCCTGGACGTCAAGAGCAAAACCAGTGAGTGAGCGAGCAGGGGG